GAGCTCAACACTTGATCAAAATGCCACAAAGCGATTTGCATATTTTAATTAAATTCGCGCTTTGCCCTGGAAAAAGTAGCGAAAAAAAAAAAAAACTGAAATTAAAAAGAGCCAAGAACCCCGAACAGAGAAAAGCGCAACACGGTCGCCAAAAAAAGGAAGCCCTAGAACCCAGTGGCGTCGAATCAAGTGTGGGGTTTGGGTGGTCATGTTGCTGTCTTTGCTGTTTTAAAAATATGTACGAGAAAAAAAAAACTGAACCGCGTGCAACACATGTGACCACAAGCGTATTAAATTTTGTACGCTCCCTCGCAAAAAAAAAATAAAGAAAAGCAAAAAATAAAAACACAAATAAAAGACATTTTCAAAACTTGGCTGGCTGGGCGGGGGGTGGCTTAAAATAAAAACAAAGCCATGTGTGTGGCCAAAGGTAGCCAACTAACAGAGTCACAAAGCGACTGCCAGTGGGAAAGGTCAGCACAAAGGCACTGACAAAAAAAAGAGGAAAAAAATCTATAATCCTTAAAATAATAATTAGAAAATGAAAGCCACTTGGTGTTCTAGAAATTTGGATCTAAAATAAATAAAAAACAAAACATTAAATTACATAAAACATGAAAATTTCTAATATTTATTTTTTTACATCATTTTTATTTTATATTTTGTATTATTATGCAAAAGCCAGCAAAACCCTATCACTGATATAGTTGCTGGTTGCTGCTGATGTTACTTACCACAAATTGCCCGCCTGCCGTTGCAGGAGCAACCAAAAGCGGCAACATGGCCAAAGCGCAGTGCAGCATAAAGTGTTAAATTGGATTAATCCAGAAGATTTACGCTGCGGGTGATATCAACGTTGGTAACGTTGCAAAAGCAAAAGCAACAGCAACTGCAACAGAAATTGCAGAAGCGGCACGGGGGCGTAGAAAGCTAAAGGCAGGCAGCCACATGTTGATGTTGCAGTTACTGTTGCTGTACTGTTGCTGTTGCAGCCGCCAGCAACACTTGAGCAGAGTCAGCAATTTTATTAAAACCGGACGCGTACTTCAACACCACCGGAAACACAACACAAAAGCAGCAGCAGCAACAGCCACAGCAACACTTTGAATGTGTGTCAATGTGTGTTGGATGTTGGATGTTGCTGCTTGGACGTCAACAACCATGCAAATTTTAATACAAAATTGGGATTAACGACGTTACCAGCAATCTGAGCTAGATGCAACACCAGGCAATAACAAGAGTGGGTAATAACGCCTTGACAGCGGCAGCAGCAACAGCAACAGCAACATCAACTGCAAGCGCGTTGATTATCCCAATCAGCAACACTTTACCAGCGTAAATCTATTTAATTTGCCATTGGTCTATGCAATCCGTAATACCCCCGGATAGCCCCACTGATGCACCGCCGTGGCACAACCACTGATTCTTCCGCGCAAACCACAAATCAGCTGTTCTTGTTAAATGTAATTGAACCTGTTCTTAGAGTTTTGTTTTGTAATTTATTATTGGCGCATGAGTTGCAAGCCGAAAAGAAGAGAAAATAGCTCAACTTGTGGGGAGGTTGAAGCTGGAAGCTTGTATCTTAAAGTCTGGTGATCATCATAATGATGATGATGATGATGATGATTGAGCGGAGTGGCATGCGAAGATCGCGCGATCGTGCCTGACGCGTAATTGATTATTACGAAGCAGCAACACCAGGCAACACCAGCAACATCATAGCACCAACAGGCAACCGGCTCAGTTCAGCTCGAAGAAAATGCCAGCATAATGATGTATTAGTTAAAGTTGGCCAACCGGTTCGCATTTCGGCCATGAAAAACGGTTTAGAATTAGGAGCCTGTGATTACATACTTCTTACTGCCCCGATGCCACGGACCAAAGTGCGTTGAAATTGAAAAGAAGTGGGCATCATGTTGGTTAGTGCCTGTTGCTGTTGTTGCTGTTTCTTGGCTTGGTTGCAAGTTGATGTTCCTCACGCTTTTACTGTTGCAGTTGCTGTTGCTGGCGGGGTTCCACATTGGAGTGCACTTTTAACAGCTTCAGGAATGTTGCAAATCTGTGTTGCAGGAAGTATGGTATTTATGTGCGGTAGGTTTTGTGATTTTTTTAAACAGATGTTGCTAACCAAATATAACCAAATCTCTAGCCCTAATTTATTATTTAATAAAATTAATTTATTTATGTATTTTGTAGGATATTTCTGCCCCTTTGGCAGCAGTTTCAATGGCAAAACTTCCACGACTGGGGAATTTATTCAACACTTTATGCTCGTATCTAATGGCAATGGCAGAATTGACAGAACAAAAAGCTATGGCCAGTATGCAGGGCCATCGACAACGAGGGCCATAACTCATAAGCTGTGCAGCACATACTCCTATTCGATTCAAAAATACCAAATACCAAGGGTCTACTACATATGGGTGGCGGGTGGAGGCATGGAGGTATGGAGGTATGTTGGTAGTGCCGCCACACGAAACCAAAACGAAGGAAAAACTCCAATTTTAATTGCTCGACATTAAACGATCGACAACGACAGCAGCCAGCGAGCAAAGTCGCAACTTTGGCAGATATTGCCATAAAATATGCGCACGTTTCGATTCGTTTGTTTGCCAATGGTTTGCATATGGTTCAGGTTCAGGTTTGTGTCTGGGTTTTGGGTTTGGGCTTGGGGACGGATCGGATACTGAAAGAGACTGAGACCGCGACTACGGAGCAGCGCAGACAGCATTTAGCGTACGATTTGGCGGCGCGAAAAAGATAAACTCATAAATTATGGCATTGAATGTCACTTCGGCACCGCCGGTTGTTGCCACCGCCAAACGCCGCCGCCGCCACTGCCACTGCCGACAAAAGCAACAAAAATGAAAACCCAGGACACTGTATCGAACGCTATGTATATCCACATCCGAATCCGAGAGTTTGGACGGGGTATTTGGGGGAAGCCGGCGATAATGAAGCCCATTTTAAAGTCACTACCATTCAATGCGATTTGATTTACAATCCCATTTCGATTATAATCGATGATGATGTGTGTGCGCGCTTCGGTCGAGCCATGAACTTGCATATAAATACCAATCTGTGTCTTTGCCAGTCTCGCTGGCCAGGGAGGAGGTGAAGGAGGTTGGACGGGCGAAGACGAAGGTGGAATGCTAAGCGGAGCAGATCGGGTCGCCGGTCTCTAGCGGTTTTCCAAGGAAATCGAACTGCCGCCGCAGATCCAAGCTGGAGTTCAATCTGGACTCTGCCCACAGGACCCAGCAACAGGCGTTGCACAGTGGTTCAAATTTTAGAGTTATCTTGGGGTTTTGTGATCCCAGATTATTATGTTTATCTTTAATAGACTCTATATTTTTCTCATTTTCTTCTAATCCTCGCAAGAAAACCTCAAAATATATATGTGCTTCCATTTTTCTGGGGAAACCTGTAAAATCTTGGAATTTCGTATAGGGCCCCAAAACATGTCTATATCTTTGGCAATTTTCATTCAATCTTTAAGCGGAATACCTTAAAAGATTTGTTAATATATTCCCTAAGAATCTGCAAAACCCAAGACCATATTAATTTTAAATAATTTTCCCAACACTTCCTATAAGTTGAACCACTGCACTCTGCCTCCTGGTCGTTTACCTGTTTGTACAATTGAACTTGAATATACTTCGCGGCGTTTTAGTTTAGTTAGCTCGCCGCCGCCAACTTGTCAGACAAACGAATGCGGAGCTAACGAACCCACCAGCTCCACCAGCACCAGCACCACCATCGCCATCGCCAGCACCAGCAATAGCACCACTTCCACCTACCACCACCAATCTGCAGTCACCCTCCACGAATGCCACCAGTCTGGGCGATCATTGTCGCATCCGCCACGATGGTGGCAATTGTTTTGATGGCCGTTGATAACTGCGACGCGGGGGGGCATGCCACATCTCGATTCCACCGGAGACCTCTGGGGGACAGAGCGACCCCTCAAAAACAAAACAAAACTCGACAAAACGAAGTTTAATACAATGGATGTATATATTTTGTCACCAGACTGGCGACCAGACTTTATGGGCTTTTAATTGAAGCTGAAAACATAAACTACACCCACGCAATGTATCTTAAATTTATTACAACTTAATTGTTAGTGTTGATGATTTTTTATGTACAATATTCTGTAGGGCTTACGAATATGTCTTAATATGTTTTAATTTTTGGCGCAACGCCCACGGAATAAAAGCCAACATGGGGTGGATCCACCAAGAGACGTGACTTCATTTCAATATAATTTGCTAATTTGTATTCTAGTGTTAGGTTTTCCATTAGAAAATGTATCTCAAACAACCTCACACTTGTAAATCTTCCCTCTTCCTTATGCAGATGCGGAAACTAAGAGACGATTTTCCCAGGCAATTAGTTCAAAGCAATATGCGACTGTGATATAGTCGCCCACTTAGTAGGACCGCCAGCGAAATGGCCTAAAATATGGCTCCCAACTATCGTCCATAATTTCATGAGCAATTTTGGAAGCCAACATTGCTTCGAATGGGTATATATAGAGGGGCTAAAGGGGCATATGGGGAGGCTTGGGGGGGGATAAAACCAGCTCGCATGGCCACGGACGATGTTGCCGGCAAAGTGCAGTGATAAATCAGATTGTCACTTTTGTATATTTGCGCCAACTGACGACGACGGCTCCCTTGGAACCGAGTTGTATGCAAAAGCAGGCTTTTTATTCATTCCCCGACAATTGTGGTTAGTCATTTAGGTTGAAGCAAAGTTGAATAACACCATTTGCATGGGGCAGTTTGATGCTAATATTTTTACCTGGACTGTTCTTAATGGAAGGCATTGCATGCAAGACTTAAAATGCGTTCGGGAATGCATTTCACTTTGCCAACGGTCGACGGAGTCATAATTATTATTATTTTGATTATTGCACCTGAAAGATGACATTATTAACATCGCTAATGTGGTGGAATAACAACTCCAAACACTGAGAGAAACTTGACTTAAAAACATTACTATTGAATACATTTATTTAGTATTTTAAGGTCATGTTTCGACTTTGATTTACTGTGCCACCGAACACCTAGGCTCATGCTGGAGATCCGGCGTAGTTTCAGCTTCAAGCTTTTCCCTCTGATTGGCCTCATCCTCGTCCAGCTGCCTGGAGGAATCAATGTGACCCAGGAGCTTAGCCGGCGGACAATCGTCCTCGCAAGTGGCCTCCCGCCAGCTGGGACTCTTCAGCTGCTCCATGAACTTCAGATGCCGCTCGGCACAGTACGGTTCCACAATTATATAGTGGGGATCGTCGATCATGGGCTTGTCGTACATGTGCCTACGAGAGGATATGGCCAGTTCCTGGATCCGTTTTATGAAATCCGGCCGGCTCTTGGCCAGCATGTTGAGGGCCTCCATGTTGTTCGCCTCATCGAGGACTACGAGGTCGCCGGATGGAGACTTACCAGTGCAGATACTGCCCTCGGGATCGGCGAAAACGGCCTGAATGTACCGAAGTAAGTGCCAAATGTGGTGTTGGTCCTTACACCACTCCTTGAAGCAGGGTCCCAGGTCCAGACTCTTCGAGTGCGGACAGATGTGCGGATGAAAGACCGCCGCATTGAAGATCACCGTGGGCAGGATGGTGTCATCGGGAAAGTTTTCCGGCAACAAGATCGAGAAGCGAAACATGCTCCCCGCATAGATTCCACTGTGCACGAATATCACTCCAAACCAGTGCAGTCCACTGGCATAACTGGGAATGGCGTAGATGTTTTTTAATTGGTCCTGTACCAGCCGGTACTCGGCCAGGATTTTGTAGCCCTGACTGATCAGAGCCATTCGATGGTTGTTCCCAGTTGAGTACCACATGGTTTTCGCACAGTTAAGACGTGGCACGAGGTGGTATTGGCTCTTTGAGGCTAAATGATGGACTTACACAAGCAGCACAAATTTTGAAGAGCCTGTGGAATCCTGCGGAGATGGTTTGTGGGTATGTGAGGCCATAAAGATCCAATTGAGGACTAAAGTAAAAAATTTATAAATTTGACATTTAAATCAGAGATTTGTAACTTTAATTCTCTTTCATTTTCAACAGTGTAACATTACAATTATGCGTCATGTCAACTTGCAACACCACTTACAATCCAGAAACGGGAATTGTCCGCTCAAAAACTATGTAAGCCAGGAACAGCATCCCCTCGTTGGCCGGGAGGGGATCTGGAAAACCTGCCCCGGCACTCGCCGGCATATTCAATCATGTCAAGTGTAATAATTTTGCGAATAGCAGATGCACGCAGCATTTTACAGCCTTGGGGACGCCATCGAATCGAAGAAGAATCGAAAAATTCGAGACGAGGCTTAGACCACGTTTTGTGTACAAATGCGGATTTTTGATTTATGGCCACAACGATGCTCTGCTCTGATGTACGGTTCTTTCACGCACTGGCAACATAATGTGGCATTATAATGTCGCATGTTCTGGTCCGGTGTTGTGGTGTGCGTCCCGTGTGTGATTTGTTATGAATTTATTATGTGACGGAAGTGGCTTTGGCTTGGGCTTTGCTTTTGGCCAACTTGCAACTGGCCAAACAAGCGAAAATGTTTGCATGGCGATGCCTGATGGCCGCATCTGCTAATTGGCAATGTTGCACCTTCTGGTCCGCTGACATTTGGGCCCAAGAAATGCCACAGGGCATTTACAATTTATAATATGATTATCCATCCATAAAAATAATAAAAAGTTTCACGCGTTTTGCAAGGCAATTTCTTAAATGCCAAATTCTTTATAAAAGTTTCATCTTTGAAAGGTAATTCAACAGTCGTTCTGGGATCATCTCTTTTCTGTGTGAAACATATCGTAAACACTCTGACAAAGACGGACAGACAATGACGCTTCCTTGATAAGTTTCGACCCCAAAAAAAAGGAATTAAAACGAATGCATAAACGTGCAACAGATAAGGAAATTGGCAAAAATAAATAAAAGTTGGGAATACAATTTCTGACACTGCTGCTGGAACTCATTAAAAATTATACCGCGATATGAGGCGATATGATACGTTATGATTTGTGACTCTGTGCCAGAACCAAACCGAAACCGAAACGAAGGAAGAGACTTTCTTTCTTTCTTTAACGCCAGTTGTCAGTTTGGGGTAAATGACATGGGTGCAACACCCAGGCGTGGAAAGGGATCCACCGATCAGAGACCTCCATTTCACCTACACCGCAACCCAGCAACCCAGGAACCCAGCTATATAGCAACCCATGTCAAAATGTTTTGGCCCCAGGCAATTGCTAATATGTGCCCCGATTTTTTTTTTTGGCCACAACAGTGGAGTTTTTGCACCTGTGGGGGGAAGTGCCAGTATCAGTGCCTGTCACCTGGCCAGCATTCAATTTCGTGGATTTCGTTTCCTCATATATGCGGGCAGTAATTTCGCTTCCCGGCCAGTCTCTCGGCCAGGGCTTCTTATCAGCTTTCTTCATTTTATGCTGCGATGCCTTTTTGGGGGGGCACAGGAACCGAAAACTGCAGAACGATTCCACATTTCAGGCCAGCATACCATCATCTCGGGCCATGGAGTGTGTTTTGAGTCCCGGCATTTGTAATACGGTGGCATATAACACTTAAGTGCTTGTTGTTGTTTTATAAGATAAACTTTTGCTCAGAGCCCACATACGGCCAGCGGATAACGTGTTGCCAATTTCATTTGCTGGCACTTTCATTAACCAGCCAAGGCAGAACCAAAAACAAAACCAAACCAAAAAAAAGCCCATCCCAAAAAAAAGAAGCGTTGAGTCGAATAAAATAAACGAATTGGTGTGTTTTTTAAAGTTCTCGCTGAAAGTTGCGGGCTTTTTGGGGCGGAAAATGTTTGAGGAAGGAGGGAATTCGTGGAACTGCAAACGAATTCGGTTTGTATTTCAATTTTTTGGCGATTGCTATCCATCAGTAATACAGGGAACAGAGAAAGCTATTAAATCGTAAAGAAACTTACTCCTGAATAAGAAAAGACTTTTGATAAAATCTTAAAAGGTGATAAATTCTTAAAAGGAATTTATTTTATTTATCTTCGCTAACAACCAGAAAATTCTAAAAGAAATTTCTTTATGAATTATGAATTAGGAGAAGAGATCCACAGCATACTTTCGGGCAAAGTCATAAATAGTCTCGCCTTGCAAACAAATGTGGGAATCTGTGAATTGTTTTCCATTCTGGCACACAATAATTGATTTATGCAAAAAGTATATATTTATTCGGGGACGGGGCGGCAGGCAGTGCCAAGTGCTTGGCCGTAAATTCAAATTCAAATTAGATTATATGCAAACACCAGGCCGGGCCACTCTTTCACTTGCCGTTCCTTATTATTATATAGGAATTCCGATTCCGAACGAAAAAGAGCAAAAACTCCGTCGTCGGGGTCTACTAATATTTGCATAATCGCAGGCAGGCCTGGCTGCCATCCTGCCAGCCAACATGCGGCAAAGCAATTATTTCTTTAAAAATAAATTGCATGCACAATTGGTAGCAATAGCAATTGCAACAGCAACAACAACAACAACAACTACAATCAAATACCCACGGAGGACCACCATGGATACAAATCCAATGGATCCAGAGAATCCAAATCTGACCGAATGCAGGTTCAAGCCAACGACGAATTTGGTCAAAACGGCTTTTTGTTTTTGTATCTTTGCCACAATGTTGAAGAAGCAGAAGAGGCGGCAGTTTGCTTGGGGTAAGCCCGAGGGGGGGCGTGGCAACTTAGCTCGTTTTTTGCGATTTGTGTGTAAGCCTCATTCAGTTATTTGCATATCGATTTGGAGTTTTTAGTCCGCCAGAACACACACTACTACTCTGAACTGTCTCCTGGCCGTATCTCTCACCGATCGGAGCGTTTCGGAAAAGTTTCCTCTTGATTTTATTTGCTGCACAAACAATTGCATAATTGACCCATACACCCTGCCTCCCCCTCCAGGATATTATTCAACCAAGCACCAAGTTGGCCAAGCACTTTTCAAGGAACAAACTCATGGCCCTGGCGAGGAATCTCGAGTGTGAATTCATTTTTTATAGACCACTCGATGGCGACACAATTTTCCAGACAATATTCTCCGATAAGCACGTGCTATTAGCTGGATATTCCATCAAGGAGGCCATTGATCAGGACCTGAAATAGTTTAATTTTGTTTTCTTGGAAAACTTGGTTTTCTTTTAGTCACGTAATCATAACTCGCTGCCGGGCTGGGAAATTGAAAAGTTTTTGGTATGGAAATTGTTGCCAAAAGAGTTCGGCTTGTTGGGGTTTTAAACTTTTCGAAATGGCCTCCAGAAATATATACAGCACTGTATTTTTTTACCTTGCTGGATAGGCTAGTCCTAGCCCGAAAAATAAGTTGAAAGGGTGAAGACCTAGCCCTACAAGTCACTCACTCTCATTATGTCTGGTCGCTTTATCATGTTCATGTTGACATTCGCGCGGACACAAATGAAGCAATTTTCCTGACATGCAAAACGTGCAACGTGCAACAGTTGCTCCGTTTGCCATGCAACCATGTCTAGGAATGGAAATGGAATTGGAAGCGGAATTGGAGCAACTGTTGCGGCAGTTAATTTTCGTATATTTAATTCGCCTTAAATTATTGCAAGGCAGCGTCCATGACGTTGGTAGCTGCACCGCTTTGATGTGCCCATTAGCCAGGCCAAGATAGACACAAAAAACCCAAACAGAAAAATATACACAAGTTTGCTGAAGAGACGCCAGAGTGATGCCAATAGAAGGAGCTGCAGACTTTGAGCTCTAGCTTGGGGGCCAGCGATTTGCAAGGCAAATCAAAGGCTTAATGAATTCATTTCAATTAAACAAACAAAAAAGCGAATCAAACCACAGCCACATCAACGGCGATAGACAGTTTGCATTAATAAATCGTTTAGAGCTGGGAGCTCCATGCCAATCCATTTGAACTTGGCATTTTGTAGAGTCACTCTGTACAGGAGATAAAAAAAAAAAACCTTAAAAAAAACCCCCCTGTATTAATTGATTCTGATCTTTGAAGTTGGGCCTGTGCAGCTGCCAACTAAAGAATGGGGTCTATTTAAGCCAAAAGGTTACGGGTCTTGTAATTTGTTGGCTTCTTTTTAATGAGTTGTTAACTTGAACTTATTGCCTTCAATTGGTATTTCATTGATTTAACAAGCAGCCAATACAAATAAGTTCAGCTCTTCGGAAGTGTTTGTTCAGCCCGATATCTTCCGCGAAATTTATGTTGTTTATTGGTTCAGCATTCCAGGCCGTATTTATTTAGTGGGCCGCTTGTTTATTTAATCTCATTCAAGGGGTCAGTCACCGAATCGCTCCCCTTTCTTTTCCATTTGGCCTTTTTTGGACTGGCTGACTGGCTGATAAGCCTTAAGCTGCTTAATCGATGACCAGAGAGTTGTCAAAAATAATTCACAGGCCGCGGCAGCGACTGAAAGGAAGAAGTACAAATACAGGAAGACAGCTCGGCGTATACGTAATGTTATCAGTCCCCAAGATCTACCCTTTGGTGCTTTAATAAGCGGGCCAAGAGGACAGGGGGGCACAGGAGGCGAAAACCCATCGCGATGGCCAAATCAAAGTTACCTGGTTGGGGGCCCTTACATGAGAAATATTTTAGCGTACAATGCAAAAATGGTAGCAGCTTCGCAGGGCCAGCCTTATCAGTCGCCACTCCGCTGACGGATGCACCAAAAATATAAAAAAAACAGGGAATAAGGAAACAAAGGATGCGGAGAAGCTAAGATAATGCCACAATGAAGACAGCATAACGCGCCGCTGTTGAAAAATCGCTACTCGAGTCTGAGTCTGACCAGCAGCAGCATCAGCAGATGGAGAGGATGCGTCCACATCAAGATAAATAAGCGTGCGCCCTGCTCTGCAGTACACTGGAGA